TGGTATTTATATAGTTAGTTTTAGTATTTATGTAGTTTTAGTTATAGTTTTATAAATATATAAATGAAAATGATAAATATACATACATATCAATAAAATAAAATAAATAAATAAAATACATTAATAAATAAAATCCAACCAGATAAGAGACCTCGCCAGGGGACCAAACGGCTAAACGGCGTAGGCTTTGATTATATACTTGTTTAATCAGATGAAAGTTAAACAAAATGGGTTTAACAAAGTAATTATTATGTAGATTAGTTTTATTTATTTTATTTAAAATATAAAAGTACACAGTCGAGGGATACCCATCCCAATTTACCTGTCCGGTAGTTGTGGTATGGTATACGACCCCGGCTACCACAGCTATTACTGTCCTATCCCTTGCCCTCATGGACGGTAATATCCTACATTTCCTATTTCCTACCCTAACTTACCTTACTCTTCCTTTTCACACCACCTCCCTTTTTCCTATTCCTACCCTCCGCCAATCCAACGTCGGCCGCGCGGATGGATGCATGGATAGGGGCGAGCCTAGTCGTTAGCGTGCCACACTGCCCTGGGACCGGGCGACCCCAGAATTAGGCTAGCCTTACCCTGGCATGCGGGGCTCTGCTGGGGGGGGACAAACCTTTCCTTCGCTATTCGTGGGAACGCAATGGATAATCAAAAAATTAACCGAAATGGCGGCGATGTGGTTCGCCACCCATCACGTCTCGATTCTCGCGGGGGCGAAAAGCGGCCCACGGAGAACCGCTTCGCTACGTTGAATGTAAGAGGAGGGATGGATGGTAAGGTAGATGGAGTATGTCAGATGATGGATGAACGTTGCATTGATATTCTGTGCGTGAACGAAACCTAGAGGAAAGGATGTGACACCACGGTTCATGGCCCCTACACGGCATACTGGTCGGGAGTCCTCCAAACCAGCCGAGGCAGTCAGGGAGTTGGTGTGATTCTTTCATCTCGAATGGTTGAATGTGTGATGGAGCATGAATGTGTAAGCCCAAGACTCCTCTGGATTAGGTTAAAAGTCGGACTCACCCGCTTGTTTATCCTTGGGGTCTATGCACAGACGGATCTGCGTGGAGGTGGGTCACTAAAATCACAACAAGAGGAATTTTGGGATAGCATGAGAGAGGTCTTGAATAAATGCGGAGAGAATGAACGGATCGTGATGTTAGGGGACTTTAATGGATGGGTTGGAGTAAAGCGTGATGGGTATGAAGGAGTTCTGGGTATGTTTGGGGACGAGAGAGTGAATGACAATGGGAGAAGCCTACTTGTAGTATGCTTGGAATGGAATCTGTACGTGACCAACACAATGTTTGACCACAAAAAGATCCATCTGTATACAAGAGATGAGGGTGAGTCTAGAAGTATGATTGATTTTGTAACTGTGGATGAAAGACTGAAGAAGAAAGTGCTAGACACTCGGGCATACCGCGGTGTAGGCCTCGACACAGACCACTTCCTGGTCATAGCCCGAATGCGTGGCCTCTTTAAACGGTGGCGACACCGAGGGGCCGAGCCTACGAGTGTTTTGGACAGAGTAAAAGTGGAAAATCTACAAGAAAAGAAAGACGAGTATGTAGAGAAACTGAAAGAAAGTTTTAAAGGGATAGAAGAGATAGGAGTGATTGAAGATTTGTGGGAGACATTTAAGAAAGGGGTTGTAAATGTTGCGATTGAGGTATGCGGGGTAGCTAAAAGAAGGAAAGAGAGAAAGAATGATAACGTGTGGATGGATAAAGATGTACAAAGGGTTGTGCAAGAAAAGAAGAAAGTGTGGTTGGATTGGTTAGCAACAAAAGCTAACCAAAAAGTTCAAAAGGCAACGGATGACGAGATAAAGGAAGCAAGAACGAAGTATAAAAGATTGAAAACAGCAGCGAAAGAAACTGTGTCTAGAAAGAAAGAAGAACGAAAAGATGATTTCGATAGGAGGCTCACTGAAGATTTCCAGTCAAACATTAAGTTTTTCTGGAAAACCATCAAAACAGCCACAGGAAAAACTTCTACTTCGGAGCTGAGTACAATCAGGAGTCAAGATGGGAGCATTATAAAAGGAGAAGAATGTGTGTTAAAGAGATGGAAAGAGTATTTTGAAAGTCTGTTTGAAAGACAAGCAGTGCAGGTACAGCATCTGCCACCTTCCACGGAAACGAATATAAATGTTGATGAAAATGAGATAACCATGGATGAAATAGTGAAAGCGTTGAAAAGTATGAGATTAGGTAAGGCTGCAGGGTGTGACAGGATTACCGTCGAGATGCTGAGGGCTGGACAGGGCCTGGTGGCTAGTCAGCTGTACCGCCTTTTCAATCTGTGCTGGCGAAATGGGCAAGTGCCGGGAGACTGGTGCAAAGCCGTAATCGAGCCATTGTATAAGGGAAAAGGGTCACGGCAGGACTGCATAAATTACCGTGGTATAGCCTTCTTAGCGTCGTCGGTAAATTGTATGCGAAAGTGATGATTGAAAGGGTTGTGAATGAAACAG